GTGGATGGTGAAAGCTCTGGGCTCCTCGGCTCCATTGCCTTGGGGGCTGGTTTTGGTTTTCCTCCGTGCCTGGGAGAACGGGTCAGGGGTTTTTTCTGCCCTTGGCATCATCCCAACAATAAGCCGCTTTACTCCTGCCTGAGCGGAGCACGTTTGTGTTCCCCCGGCCCAGGTCTGAATGCTGAAGCACCGTCCTAGTCCCATCATCCAACCTGGAAGGTGGGAGCCGACTGATTCCCTCTCTCTGATGCTGTCAGGTGTTGGACTGTGCAACACCTCTGGCCCTGCCGCCGCTGCTTTCCTTGCTCTCAGAACATTTCTCTGGAGTGCCTGCCCGGGGACCGCTGCTGTAGAGAGTCCCCATCCTTCTGGGGATGCACATGGGAGCCCGACGGGCTCTTCAGGTCCTCGTGCTCACCATGACCCTGGTCATCCAACACGTGTCCTTCTGCTCTTTCAAAGTGCTTCCCAGCACTTACCAAAGCGGCTCATCCCAAGCTTCTCTTGGACCTCTCCGGACAGATGAGCAGGCCATGCAAGGGAGCAGCACGTGTTTGCTCTACACAGCTTTAAAAACCTTCTAACCACCAGATGGAGCAAAGGAACTTAAAACAACCATGGTTGACACTTTGGCCAGGGGCTGCCGTGGGGGGAATGGAGGGGTAACCTCTGCCCTGTGGGCAGCTGCTGTACCTGGGCCTTGCCAGGCTTTGCCTTGGCTTCTTTCTCTCTAGCTCTTCCCTAGAAGGCAGGTCTCAGGCTTGTCCTGGGGGCTGCTTTGGCAAGGTGGCAGGTAAGCGCAGCTGCACGTGTGTTGCCAGCCTGTTCCTCGCCCTTTGATCGTAACCTGCTGTACAGGCTGCGCTTCCCACTCCCAGCACGTCTTTAGGCAGGGCTTACTCCAACCTCTGCGAGGGAAGGACGTGCTGCAATGGCCATGCCCGTTTGCTCTCCCAGTTGAACCAGCCCACTGCCTGCTGTCATCTCTGTCTCAGACCAGAGTTTCAGTCCTGCTCCGAGGAGGGCTGGAGGGGCGGGGGTGGCAAGTATTTGTTGCTTTAAAGCAGTGGAAACTTTCAGTGTTGTCATCTCAGTGGTCAAAGCTAAGAGGAACTGGTGTGCTTCAAGAAGTGTAATTTAGTGAGGAAGGCACGGCTTTGGAGTGTTTGACTAGGTTGAAACTGGCCAGTTTCGGTGTCCCTCCTCACCTCTGGAAGGAGAGGGATGCGATGCATCCCTGGGGTTTGAACAGACTTCCACACGGAGGCTTTGCTATCATCTAAACCGTTCACAAAGGAAAGGAGCAAAAGTCTGGTCCCTGTACACGGGACCGACTCAGTTTGGACGTTGCTGAATCTCACGAGACAAAAGTTTTAGTCCCGTGTTAATTTTTTTCTAATGCTGAGATCCAAGGCTGGAATGACAGAAGAGGTCTGTGCATGGTGTGTTGAAACACTTTAGGATGTACATACTGCAGAAGGGGAAGACACAGCTCCGCAGAGAGCCAGCCACATACTTTTTCCCCCCTTTTTTTGCTGTATCACTGATGCCTGACCATTGGCAGGCAGTGCTGTCTGCCTACATGGGCAGAGGAAGAGCCTATGAGTGTTAAGTAGGAAACTGGTGTGTATTTTAAAGCACGGGTCTGTACGGAAGTGCTGGCAGTAAACAAAGGAAAGTCCTGTTCTAGTTGTGAAATTGCTGATGCCCTTGAGTGCTAAATGCCAGTTCAGCTCTTCCTTGGCTTGTTTTTCAGTGTTGCTTTCAGCCTTGGAGTGATGACACAGAGAGAGAGGATGTGTTCTTATTCCTTGGATATTTTGTGGAGCGTCCTTGGATGAGTTTGCCTGTTGGCTGTTAGAGTAACCTCAGTAGAAGATCTGCTTGTGTTCTAGGGATAAGAAGAGAGCTTGAGTGCCAGTTCTAAGTAATGCCCTTCCCAGAGACAGAAAAGAAATTTCTGAGGCTTCGTTGCTGCAGAGAGATGCAGAAATATCCCTGCAAAAGCAGCCACTGAGCCTTCCGGGATCTCTAAGCACTGTGCAGGGTTGGCTGTGAGCCGTGGTTTAGGACTGCTTTTCCAGCACTTGCACATTACTAATAGCAACGTTGCTGGGCTTAGGGAATGACCCACAGATATGGCAAAAGGATGAAAAAAGCCGAGCCAGGAGCTCAGAGCCAGCACAGCTTTGTGCAGAACGGCCACGCTAAGCTTCTCTGGTACTCTAAGGCCATCTAGCATCTGTGGGAGCTTAAAAGCCTTCAGCAGTGTATGAACTAGGGGCAGGGTTTGCCCAGGAGCAGCTGTTGCCCCTATGGCAGGACATTGCTCCTCTGGGGTGCCATGTGGTGGCTGCTCTACAGGCTGGCATGTGTTCAGGATGGTGGCACTGTCATGGATGCTGTGATGCTGGTGTGAGAAAGTAAGGATGACGGGTTCTGGCTGAAGAGATGCCTTGTGGCAGTTAACCTAGAAAACACAGCAGCTCTGCCTCTAGTGTGGACACCTCCTTTTTGCCCATCGTAGCAGGAACAGCAGAGCGTGCAGCGGGGTACCGGCCCGAGCTGAGTGAAGGGAAGATGGGGTGCTACTGTTGCCCTGCCACCGGCCCCTTTCATGTCCTGGCAAAACACTTTGTCCTTAGCACCTCGCCGCTGTGTTCTGTGGCCCCTGGGGGAAGTGTTCTGAGGGCTGTTCTCACCAGCTGCATCAGGCACCCGGGGAGCAAAAATGGGGAAGCTCGGCCCTGCTGGAGAGCTGCCTGGATCTTCTCCATTAGCAGGAATCACACCCCTGAGTCGCTCTTGAGTCTCCCTCTGGGGTGGCCAGCTTTTCCTACTGATGTGGAAGTGAGCATCCTCCTTAAGTGTAAGAGCTGCTCTTCCTCCTTTAACAGGATGGGAAGCCCCGCTCTTGTTCTAGGAGCCACTCAGGTGGAGACGAACCCTAAAAGCAGACCAAGCCCTGTGCTGTTCACCTCCCGCTCCTCCTCCTCAGGCCCAGCGGCCCTCTGAGGACGGTCCCCAGCCCTGCCCAGCATTTCCGAGCTCACCGCAGCGGGACAGGGCTTCCAGAGTGCTCGGCTTTGCTCTGCGGTTGGGACTGTTGCTGATCTCTAATCTCCTCTGTGCCTCAGCTGCTCTGTTGGCACATTAAAGGCTAGCCGCAAAGCAACCATAATTGTGCTAAGTGTCTGTGGGATAATGGACTAAATACTCAGGATTGCAGAGGCAGCCGCATTCCCAGCTATTTAATACCTTGATTGATGTATATTTAGTTGTTTGCCAGCCCACAGGACAGCCTTCTGAGCTCTTGTTTCTCCTGCTCTATGAAGCCGATGACACAAGGATGTTAAAGAACTAGGCAGGAGTGAGCTATCTGGCCAGTCATGAGGTCGCAGGGCTGTAACGACCCCAGGTTTGCTAGGACTGGGTGTTGTGGTCTTGCTCCCTCGCCTGCTGAGCCAAGAGAGGGAGATCGGTGGTGGTTTTAGGCTCTGTTTGGAAGAGCGGAGTTGTCCTCTGCCACCACAGCTTCTTGCAGGACTGAGAACACAAGTTCTTCCTGCCTGGGGGTGGCCTGAGGAAAGGTCTGTGTGCCCGAAAGCTTGATTGCAGCACGTTTCACAGTCATGGATGACCTGTGCAGTGGTGTCCACGGTCAAGTCCAGCCCTCAATCACGAGCCCGTCTATACGTTGCATCTCTTCCCTGGTGGCCTGAGGTGTCGTGGGCCCACAGAGCCATAAATAATTCGCCCTTATGTTGCAAATCCAGATCTACCTGAGCCACTTCAGCCTTCACAGCCTGATCCACCCGTGTGTGGTTTTGATGTGCAGAGGAGACCTTCCCTTTGAACATCCAGCCCAGCACCAGCAGTCGGGGCGCTGACAGGAGCTGTGTTTCAGTACCAACCACTTCCGAGGCAGCTCAGACTCCTTCATATGCTGCTAATATCTCAGCAATATTTTCAGTTTCAGCATTTTCCAGTTATACCATCTGATCTAATAAAAGATGTTGCCTCTCCCTGTAAACCTCGCCGTCTCTCCACATTAAACCCTGGACCCTGGACATGTTGAGATGCTTGGGCTCTCTAACTTTAGGCACCTATGCTGAGTGGCTGAGATGAGTCTCCCTGTCTAGTCGGGGCAGAGAACTGGGTTCTGTTCTGCATCACCCTCAGGGAGTGACTCTTCCTCTATGCGCCTGAATAAGGGGACTGGACTCTAACTTGGGTGCCTTACAGCTTTGTGGTCTACGTGCTCCTGTCAACTGTCCAGAAAGAAGCGAGCTCAGAAGGGCTGTGTAGAAACGCTTCTGCTCGAGGTAGAGCTGTCCTTGGGGCCCAGCAGTACGTGCTGTTTGACACGGAGAGCAGGGCAGTGTGCTTCCCCAAAGAGCTCACAGAGATAAGGTGCACAAGCGAAGGGTTACAAACCCTGCTTTGGAGGGCAGCGGAACCGAGTCAGAGTCGAACGAACTGATTAGGACAGAGATTAAGATGTTTCAGTGCATCCGAGTATCTCAAAGGTTCCTCCTGAAGGAGCACGGCGGTCCTGTTCCTGAGAGGAGCAGAGCCCAGCTCCCAGAGCTGCTGCTCTCCCCTCGCGATGAGGCTGTTTCAGCAGGTCGGAAGGTCTGGAGCCACAATCTCTCCTGCTGCTTTCTGTGGGAGGAGGAAGATTTCCTAGGAAGCGCTGTTCAGATACAGGAGTTCCATTGGATATAACTTTGCCCATTAGCCATTCTTTTTTTCTTTTTCTTCAGCGTTGGCTGCCCATAAACTGACAGATGGTGTCACTCACCATGTGCACGTGGTGGTTACCCTCCCCAGTCCCCTTCTCAACACTCAATTCACAGCTGCTGGCTTTGTACCGATAAGAGAGAGATGACTTCCTTTTCTTCTCTCCACCCCTACTCCCTTCCAGAATAAGCTGGGCTGGTTTTTGGTAAATAACGAGCTGTCACTTCTTCACTTGAAACTTTCCAGGCTCCACCACCTTGGCCAACCCTCCTGAAGGATGCTGGAGGCTGGAACGTTCCTATCGGGCAGCAAACTGCCTTCCACATCCTAGAGCAAGCTCTCCCCATCTCCCATATCCTACGAATCTTGCTGCATTTTGAGCTGTCCTGTGGTTTCTGTGGACTAACGAATCTCTCTGCATACTCTGCCGGGTCAGGAGCCTTGACCAGTTATGGTGAGGTAGGATATCTTGTTCTGTGTATGTCTAGCTTCTATTTTTAACAAAGCTGATATTTCTGAGTGGGGACAAAGCAAAGGGGAGACGGCATGGAGATTATCTTTGTAGTTTAGATTGCACAGAAAGGTTTCCACTTATGCTACGGGAGGATGTGAGCTAAGAACAGTCAGAGAGCACCTACGAAGGTGTGGGTGCTGTCAGGGTGGGAATAGTGATTAACGGCGCTCATTAGCCACAGACTAGCAAATTCTCTGGAGAAGGGCAAGATTCTCCAGTGGAAACTACCTTTCAGATGCCTCTGCAGCACATGGGTGATGGTAACTTTCGCCTTGTGCTGGCTTCAGCACTGGGAAACGGTGTGTTAGCAGTTTCGTTTACATGATGACTCTGATGACTGTTAAGATGATTACTGCAGAGGCTTTTGGTGCTGACTGCAGCCTGGGAGAGGTTATCCCTGCTGTGAGCAGTAGGTTATTTTGTAATGTTACGAGATTTTTATCTCGTGTTACCTTGTTAGCAACGCTACGTTAGTAGTTCCTTGCTTATCTCCTGGTTAGCCTTGCCGTGTCTGGAGCTGAGCACGCTTTCATGTGCTGATAACTAGCTTGGCTGTGTGGGAGCAATTGTCCTTTCAAGGTGCTGGACACCTCAAGCTGAATTTTGCAGATAGGTACAAAGCGCATGAAGCGACAACATCTAGTCGGAAGGGCAGTGTGTAAAGTCGTGAGGGTGGTTATTATACGGCAGCTGGATGTGAAAGGGTCTGCTGGAGCAGGGCAGGGAGCGTGAAGCCATCCATCCCTTTGCCAGGCTGGGAGGCACAGCAGGCAAGTGCATGCGTGAGGAAAGAAATCCTGTCTGCTGGAAACACGGGGAAAGGATCCAGGGCAGGAACTGGGCTGTCTGAAGCCGTGTTTGAGGCTGTTAAATGCAATGGGATCATTGTGCAAGTGGCTGTGGCTCTTTGCCATGGAGCGTAACGTGGAGCATGCCTTGGGTTTTCCTTCCTTCCTTCCTTCCTTCCTTGGGCGTGCAGAGGGTGTGGGCAGCTCAGCAGCACTCTGCAGGGATTCAGATGATGAAAAGTTGCTCCAGCCTATTGGTAGTTTACATCCCCTTGTATCTCAAGAGCATCCCAATGCATTTGCACTAACCTCATTTCTCTCACATGTTGCAGAAGTGACCGGTTTCTCCGTTTCTGGTCTCTTCTTTGGGTGTGTTCTGCTTCACTGGATCATAGCAAAGCAGCTAAACAAATATTTTTCTGCTCCAGGAGGAAGCCTGTCAGTCAGACAACAGCTGGGCTAGTTTCGGTGCTGGCTGGTGATATGTATTTTTAATACTCCAACTGTCTGGCAGGTGGGCCTGCAATTTAATTTTAACTCGCTTTATGAGAACAAAACCATTTGCAATATACGTGCCAGTAAACGTCCATGAATGGAGGGAGTTCAAAAGAGATTTCTCTGACTGTTAGACCTTTTGAATCGAGTAGGTAAGGCCTTCTCTGGCTGAGGTTAAAGTGTAGCTGGGTGTTTATGGTGGTCCTAAGAGTGGAATAAACCTTTCGGTAGAAAAGGCCATTTCAAATATGTTTGGTTCAGAGAATTAAATCAGAAAATTTGAAAACCGCAGCTGAAAATAATAAACTTGCACACCTTTGGGGCTGCTGCCTTCAAAACAGCTTGAGGGACTTAGCTACACCTTTTTTTAATTAAGAGAACATGGGTGTAAATCCTCTGGGCGAGTTGGAAGAGCCCCAGCTGCCAGTTTCCTGCTGGTGCAGGTGAGTATAACTCGGTGTTGAAATGCATGTTGGCTTGATAAAACCAGGTCTGCCTCTCCCATTCTGTGGAAACTGAGGATTGTCAGGCAAAAAAATTTGTGTCTTCCCCCCCCCCCC